ACTAATGAAATACCGGCCCATGACATCTCTGTCTTCTCTCTGACCAACATTTCGCGGTTAAAAGTTTATAATAGAAATCCCTATTTTATCGACGGATTATCTGGTTTGTTTGACATTTTTCACATTAGATGGCATTACTTTCACGATTTTGTGTCGTCACCGCTCTAGGCATAATCTTCGAACCGCCATTTCCCGCCAAGTGGTTTCGCGATCTAGACGCTTTTTGCTAGTCGTGATATTTATAATATAAATTAATTTTTGCAAATTGCAAGTGTGTGTGTGTATGCTAATCGATCAACCGCATCATTTTTTGCTTACGACTTGGATGCTGCGGCATGGATTGGATGATGTATGTAAGTTTATCTAACTTTTTATACAGTTTTTCTCTAATATGAAAGTGTACGCAAAAAAGATGCATTTCTTTGACTACTTTATAATAGTTTACTGTGTATTTTAACGCTCGCAAATTTTTTGACAATAGAATGTGTATTTTATAGGCGCGTTTTATAGATGTTAATTCATGTTAGAGGTCTTCAGTAAATGTTTCAAGATCTTCCTAAGAAATTGTTAGCAATCGACCTTTCCTATATCCACCCTACGCGGAATAAGTCAATTTCCTGGAAAGTGAGTCTGTGACAATGATTATTTTTGCGACATCGCTAAGTTGATACAAAGGTCGATAAGTAAATGTTAGAGCCACTGGTTTTTAGAATTTATCATAGGGATAGTAAAAAAAAGATACACGTTCTCGAGTATAATAAGAAAGAATAAGTATAATAAGAAAGAATTTTAATATTATAGGATCTAACGTATTCTTAATTAAAAATTAAGTAAAATAAATTTCTGCCAAAATGGCAAATGTTTTTTACACTAAATTTCATAAAAGTGAATTATCAAAATTAGAGAAAAAATATTTTCAGTGAAGAAAAAGAAATTGAAGGAGAAAGAATTACAACGAAAGATTAATTTTTAAATTAACTTTTCTCTATATTTAATATATTTTATACTTGCTTCGCGCAGAATTTTACTCGCGAAAGTAAAGGGAAGATTAAAAAAGCATCGCGATAGATAAGAAATCATCATTGCAGAGAAACGAATGCGTTTATGCGAATGTTGAGAGATCACCCGTTGCAGTAGCGGCCTGCGAGGGTGGTCTGACGTAACGCGTTACGTCAGATCGTGCTATAAAGTTCCAGAGGGATGATGGTGGCGTGCGTGGGGGTAGCTCACCACGAGAGGATCGACGGGGAGGGCACGTCAATAGGAGAGAATCCCTTGGACGCCTGGTAGGGAAACGAACCCTCAAGTGGGGGATAACTCGTAAAAGCTCGCGGCCATATATAAGGGCCGCAAGAGGGGTAATTGTCTTTCGATCCTCTCTCTTCCTCTCTTCCTCTTTCTTCTCCCTCCCCTCTATCTTTTCGAAATATGCGACTCTTCCGGAAATGCATGATTTCCGGGATCATGCATGAGTTCAGGCGATATATCGTTTCGAGGTCGCCTATGTTTAATTTTCCAAGAAAAGGTTACCTCCTCTCTCTTTAGCGCTTGTTATTTCTCCTAGTCGTATATACATCACTTAGAGTTAACGTCGGTTAAGAAGGGATAAAAATAGAAGGGGATAGAAACTTACTTAGATTCCAGGTATTGTTTGCTGATATTTATGGAAATGACAGATCAATCTCGTAAAAATAAATTGCCATCAAAATCCATTTATCTAAAATTATTTTTTCTCTATATACCCAGCAAACACCAAGTAACATTTATATAACTGTTATGTAACTGTTACATAATATGTAACAGTTATATTGTTGAGTGGGAACTTATAACTAACAGTTATTTAACTGTTATTTGGTGTTTGCTGGGATATAATCTATATATATAAATCTATAATAAAAAATATATAATTGGATATTAATATTATAGCGTATATTTTATTGATGTAACTATAACATATATTATAAATATGAAAACGGCGTGATCGGTAATCGTTGAAAAGCCCACGTAGGATGCGCATCAGAACGGACTTCTAATTTTGTAACATCCTGTGCCGATGTACACGTCACGTGACGCAACCACCCTCGCAACAGTTTCGATATACATGATTTAGTGGTGTGGCGCTTGCCACAGGATAGAGACCGGGTTCTGTCCATTCACCCATCAGACACGTCGCTCTAGGCATCAGGCATTTAGATACCGTAAGTGGTTTGCGGCTACCATTGAGCTCGTACATTGGGCGTAGAGAGGGGGAGGAAAGAGGCCGGGAGTCACCCTATAATCGGACGCGACTATAAGAACGGGGATAATGGAACGGGTAGGGAAAATGGCGGGAGGAGAAAGGGTATTATTCTTTGTAGAGGTGGCACGGTCAGTGACGTACGACAATGTCGACGTTATCGTAGATCGACGAAAAAGAGGGAACGGTTGCAAAAAATTGCCGCATGAAACACGACAGTTACAAATTTCTACGACCTTTCGCACTAATAAGAATCGTCGGTAATCCCTTTGCTTTTTGTGTGACCTTTTAATTAAACTCGATGCTTTGAAATAAAATCATAAATTTCTATAATAATAGAATCACGTATAGATCAAATCGTTAGATTTTGGAGAATTTATGATATATATTTTAGGCAATATATCGCAAATTTTTATGGAATATGTAAATATACATATATGTATGCATGTTACTGCATGTGTAATGTTTTGTATAGAAATAAACTTAATATAATATACATAATTTTTTGTAATATATATTGGTTAATTTAAGATTAATATATTAATTATTTAATTAATTATTTCATAAAAATATAAAATTTCTCATCAAATTCATAAAATTACTCATTTAACCACAATTTTTTGTAAAGCGATGTTTGCTTTGGCTACGTTACTGCGTTTTGCTTAATAAGGGTGGGTTATCAATTTCAAAGGCGTTTCAAGCGGGTGATATTGGAAAACATCGAATAAACTTTGAATTCAATTCGAAAGTTGTTTTTTTTGACAATAAATTAAGTTTATACTAAAATAAATGCATAAAGATTAAAGGAGTACTTATCTCTCAAGAAGTATCTATAAAAATTATTATTGACATTTTGATAATATGGGGAACCTCAAAATTACACTACTGTGATTTCCCAAACGGAGAGAAAGGGGTAATATATTAGGGGCGTCTTAATCGTGAAGGAACCTGATGGTTATGCAGCAAAGTTTATGAATTAAACTTTGTTAGATTGAATTTAGTAGTAGTTATGTATATTATATTAACTAATACAGTATTTATAATATATTAATATATTAAGCAATATTTCTTCATTTAACAAGTTCTTCATGAAATCTTTTCTTATTTCAAAAAAGATAATGCTTACGAGATGGCACACACATTCTTCAAATACATAAATCTCATTAAATATCATTTTATATAAAATAAAGATAAAAAGTAAATATATTTCACATTTGGTAATAATAATTTTAATTATTTAGTAATGATAAATTTCACATTTTCTTAGAAAATTTTTCTTAAAAAAATTAATTAATAAGATATATGATAATAAAAAGAGAATAACACACATCTGGAGGGTCATTATGAAACCTAATCGCCCACGCTTAAGAGACGCCACTGTTTGGCGGGGTGTTGCGTCAAGGGCGAGCTCTGCCACTGGTGGGGGTGCCTCTGGCTGGTAGGGGCGCGTCGCTGCCGACCGGGGCGCAAGAGGGTGGCGGCAGCATGAGAGGCAGAGAGTGTAACCCCACGGTCGCACCGCCACCCGTGCGTCGTCGTAAAATGTGACTCGGGGTAGCATAGTCACGGGGATAGTCGTGCGAGAGTGTAGAAAGATTAGTCGTGGTTTGCACCGGGAGTACATATTAATGTCCGCATCTTAGTTTTAGACAAGAGTATAAAGATATAATAGTGAGTAAGATTTATCCGGGGACGTGCAACGGGGTCTCCGTCGAGAGGAAGACGGAGAGGGAAGAGGTACACAAGGGAGGAAAGTCAAGCAACGAGACGGACGAATAATACGAGGACGGCTGGGTAAGAGATCAAACATCCTTGCGCCGGTCCAGTGATCTTACATATTTCGGAGACCGCCGTTGCGAACGAATACATATCATTTTATCCTAGTTGCAGAGAGATAAAGAGATAGCGAAAGAAAAGCGAGACAGAGAGAGAGTAATTTGGTACCGAGAGGGCGGACAAATCGAGAAAAAGATCAACGCGATCAACGAACGTTGTCGCGAACTTAATGAAGATACATGGAGAGAAAGATAGAGGAAGAGAGAGGAAGAAACATTGCGAATTCCATTGAGATGCTTATACAAAGATATATATAAATATATAAGTAGATAGATATATGTATACACATGCGCAACGCGAAACGTGTGAGTGTACTTGGCTTGAAGATCATCATCGTCGTCTCGTCGTCGAACGCGTCTCCTTCCGGCCCGAAGGTTCAGAATAGCAAGGATCGTTTAAGGGAATTCCGGAAGTGACTGGCGGAGACGCGCGAAAGGGATTCCCTTCCCGCGTCTGCGAGCAATTACACGCATCATCGTCGTTGTCATCATTGTCATCGTCGCCGTCGTGAACTGTGATTCTTTGTCAAGGGGTTTGGAACAGTGATCTGCAACGACGGGATAGATAGAGGCAAACGAGGTAAGTGATAGTCTATCTCATTTAATTCGTTTGTCTAGGCGTTTTGATTCGCGCGACACATGAAATGGAAGATTAATCGAATTGTTAGGCCGATTATATCGAAATCCATTGATAATCGGAAACCAATTTATAATGAATCAATTTGGCTGTTCATCCTAAACGTCAGCTTACATCTCTCATTTTTGGAGATTATTTAAATTTAATATCAAATTTAAAATACTTATAATTTATGTAAATTGCATAATCGCCTATCCCTTTACCTTCTAGACAATTATCTAAATATAATAATGATTAATATTGTTATTATTATAGGAGATTTTCATACAATTGTATTAGATAAACTATATTATAAATTTTATATTTGTGAATTTTAATACATGTATACTATATTATATTTGATACATGTATACTAATTTATATTTTAATGTTATATTGAAATATATTTATTCTTTACGTATATAACTTTATTAATCTTCTATAATTAGTTTTTAGGGTTTATTTGCAAAAAAATTAAAACTTTATAAGCAACATTATTCCATTTAATATAATTAATATTAACAAATTAAGTAATTTCTTTGATTTTCTTTTTGCCACGAATTTGTTTAATTGATCGATTACAGATTTATACAAATATATTAATATTTTTAATTTATTGCATATTCTTTTTTTTTCTACTTTATTTATTTATTATATTTTCCAATCAAATCAAATATTTTACAAGTTTAAAAATACTTGGATATCATTTTGTCGATATAATTATGACAAAAATACATTTTAAGATACAGTTTGTGCAATTGAGTATAAAAATACAAACGTTAAATTATCGATTTACCGATAAAATGTAAAAATGTGTCAGTAGGTTAACATAACTTTATACAACAATTAAGAATTTTAATCTTCTAAGTCTTCAATTATATTTGTATTTATTTATTTATTTTGTGTATATTTCGAATAACTTGCATATAGAATATTAATTTACAATACAAAATATTTTAAAGAATTCCCACATATATACACTACAAAATTATTGTTAATAATTATAGATATTAATGTTATCGTTTAATATTGATTTTATCGTTTAATTTATTGAAGTGGGTAGTTCTCAAAATATTTGCGTACCAAATATTGATTCGCAATAAAACATTAAAATTCCTTGTTACTGTACAAAATTAGATCAAATACTGACACTTTATCATTTAAATCGATGAATCAAAATATAAAGTTATATTTTCTTACATTTAATTTCCAGAATTTATTATGTAAAATCTAATTCTATTAACCACAAAAACAATATTCAATTACTTTTACGAATGTAATTTGATTTAAAATAACATTAGAAGGAGAAGGGAAAATAGTACGATATAAAATTCTGCGGTCGATTGATCAAACAAATTTGAGGCACAACCGAAAAAACTGTTTTATTAAATTCCGCATTGTCCTCTGTGATAACTGGACACAGTAAAAATATCGGCAAATCCGTAAAAATGTCTATAAAAGAAGTATAACGAATAATATTGTGCCTGCCAATATTCTTGTAAAGGAAACGGATAGACAGGCGCTCTAATGTTGTAAAGTATGCGAAAATATTCGAAACATAAATGTGTATGTACAAGATGTCGCAAGTTTTCTTCAACTTTCGATTACAAATTATTTTATCGATTAAAAGTCGTTTTATTTCAATTAAAATTTTTTCAACTAAAAAAAATCTCCGCGTTACAAATTGAAAATGAAGGATTTTTGCAAATTATCTTTCCATAATGCAATTAAATAACAAAACTTTCGTATTTAAATTTAAATAAACTTCTTTGCTCTTTCAAATTATTAAATTTAAATTTGTCGTTGCCAATATATTAATGTTAAATGCGTACAGTAAATGGATTGTGCTTTGAATTTATCTTTAAAAATATAAATATCTTATCTTGTATTAAAAATAAATATAAAAATATTAAATTTAAACAGAAAATCTACGAATAAGATATAAATAAATGAGCAAGTGTTTTCCGTTTCTGCTCTTTTATTATTTTAAAATACACAAGTATTCGCAATGAATTTAAGTCTTCTTATGCATCTCTTGTTCTTATTTCTGCATCGAGGAAACTATTTCCCGATGTGCCTCGAGCGTGTAGAGATTTTCATATCAGGAGGAACCTGAAAATATCGGCTGCATGTGTACATGACAAGGCACCCTCACCTTTATCGCGGGATTCTATGCACGTCGTGATGTCGTTTGCGCGCGATTATGTTTTATATGATTCGTTCCTCCTCTCGACATGAGGAGAAAGTCGTTGATATTAATAATCGCGTTAATGCAATATATTGCAACAATACAATGAACGATATTTTCGTCGCGTTTTAAAAATTCATTTTGTTACATATCTCTATCCGATCGATCGCAACTCGACTGCGCTCGAGTTCGAATCCGAATATTCACAGGACGCGGAGCGTTAAATATTCCCTTTCGCGAATGCGAATCCGCGCGTCGCTTTTATGAAACTATGTGTGTTTCTGCACACATGTGTATATATGTGTGTGTTTGTGGTATTACGCAGGGTTTTAGCCGAGAAAACTCTAGATACACGAATAAATTATTCATCGTTTGCAACAACGACGCGATATTTCTAACAACGCACGTGTGACACATTCTGTCTAAACATAGAAACATAACGATATTGTGCAGAATTACTCGTATATGTGTGTTAATTTTCTCATGATTTCGATGAACTTTAATTTCAAATTTAGTATAAAATCGTGCAATTTATAAAACATAATATAATGTTCAATCCTTTTAAGTATATGCAATTTAATTTTTTTAAATTACATGTCATTGCTTGTTATAAACAAGCGTTATAAAATATTTATGCCAATTCGTGGATCTTTTCAATGATTCATGTTATAAACAAGCGTTATAAAATAATTATGCCAATTATATGTGTTGGATTTACCGAATGTTATCACGCTTTTTGAAAATGTTTCTTTATTTTAAGTGGATATTGAATCGATATTAGTGTTCTCGTAACTAAATATTTTACGTACACGTTATATAATTATATAATTATTCTAAATGCATGACAGATAAGCGATGCGTGTGCTACATCCCAGCAGTTTAACAGTGAAATGTTTAATAGCGCACCTGCAATTATGTTAACATAGACGTCTGTCACCATTAAACGGTTTAATTTAAATTTATTGTTGGAGCATCATTCGTTATTGTCGCACGAATGAATTAAGTATGTTGGCAATCGCAAAATCTTTACAACGAATCACTGATATAACATTCCTATTAAACATATAAGAGATTCCGTTATTATTTACAATTAATTTTTTTTCTTCCGTGGATATACAGGGTGTCAGGGCAATCTCTTTTCAAAAAGAAGTTCTTATCTCGAGAGCTTTCCAAAATACTATAATAAAGTATTTTTTCATTGAATACTTTTCGAGGCTTGAAATAATCTCTTAATTTTACATAAACCATAAAATATCTAGTAAAATATTCATTTTTCGATTATTTTATTTAATACCTTAATACTTTTATGTACAAAATAATGAGAGAAATTAATTGATGCAAAGAAAACATATAATTGTTTCGAAGAAAAAATATGTAATATGCAATTAACAATTACATATTTTTTTTCGAAACAATTATGTTTTCTTTACACTAATTCCTCTCATTATTTTGTGCATAAAAGTACTAAGGTAAGATAATTGAAAAATGAATATTTTATTTTTACTAAATGAATACTTTTTTTACTAAATATTTTACTAGATGGTTTATGTAAAAATTAAGAAATTATTTCAAGCCTCCCTAACTCGAAAAGTACTCGATAAAAAAATACTTTATTATAGTGTTTCGAAAAGCTTTCGAAGTAAGCTACAAGAATATTTTTTGGGAAGAGATTACCCTGACACTCTGTATATATCAAAATTAAGTATGACTTCGCTAATGATATCGAAACAATCATTTGAATGATGAAATCAAATTCTCTATGAAATAATTTCAAAAAGAACAATGCGAACGGTAAAATCAAGATTTAATACTATATGAAAGATTTCATGATAATATATCAATTTTCAAGCATTAGGGGTTGTTTACAAATTCTAGATTCTATAAATTTCTTATAAATTAATCCTTAATTAATTCTTATAAATTAATATGTATATTAAAAATTTTATTACTGTATTATATATTACAATACTATTAAAATTGTACACGGATTTCAGATTCGCCAAAGTTTCGCAACTTCAACAAATAACGGTATATGAACTCTGGATATTTCCTTCCTTCTATCCAAGTATAGTTTAAGTAGGCACGCTTGTAATGCCTACGGGGTATTTACGGGTTATTTAGTTTCTGCAGTAGTTGCGATACGTCGAGACTCAGATGTGACGTGTTTCGTACTTGACCCAATTTCGTTCAGTTTGCGTTGACTTTAATTCGCGTTTATCTGAAAATAGCGCGTTTGATTAAAATAGGAAAGGTAGATGAGACAATGATAATTCAATATCGCGAAATACTACGATTATATATCTGATTAATATATAATAGAATATAAAGATACGTTTCTAGTTTATATCGTTCTTGTTCTTTTTGACATGTATTATTTGTCTGATAATTTGTGTGAAACAGTATGGAAAATGTTTAGCGAATTTTTCTGCGTTTAAAAATAGATATCATGTGCAGCAAAGAATATATTACTTCTTGTTAATTACAATCTTTAATTTTGAGTACATAAATCTCTATCAGATTATACTATAAAATTTGAATTGTTTCTAATTTACAGCCGCGACGAGATTTTTGTGTGAACATTATTAAATTATTTAACTCGACTAAAATTCTTGATCGAATTGTGGAAACAATTTCTATTCGTGAATTAGTGGTCTTGACCTTAATTGTTATTCGATTATTTATTTCATTTTGACAATTTATCATCAATTTAAGCGAAATAATCATTTTATCGTGAAATTGAATCAAGAATTCTGTAGATTTATAATGCTAATGTTTA